GAAGGAGAAGAGATTGGATTCATACCCCACCCTACCCAAGGGAGTCTCAGAGCGGCTTACAAACTCCTTTCCCTTCCCCTCCCCACAACAGACACCCTGTGAGGTAAAAGAAGGAGGAGAAGAGATTGGATTCATACCCCGCCCTTCACTACCCAAGGGAGTCTCAGAGCGGCTTACAAATTCCTTTCCCTTCCCCTCCCCACTACCCCGCCCTTCACTACCCAAAGGAGTCTCAAGAGGGGCTTACAAACCCCTTTTCCCTTCCCCTCCCCACAACAGATACCCTGCGAGGTAGGTGGGGCTGAGAGAGCGCTCTGAGAGAACTGCTCTTTCAAGAACAGCCCTGACAGAACTGTGGCTTGCCCAAGGACATCCAGCAGCTGCAAGTGGAGGAGTGGGGAATCAAACCTGGTTCTCCCAGATTAGAGTCCGCACACTTAACCACTACTCCAAACTCACTGCTCGCTTATTCAGAAATGGATAGAATGAGAGTCCATCTGTCCTCCTTTCACGAGGTCGATGGATTCCCGTTCTGTACGGCTACATGGGGTGCCTTCCGGGGAGATAGCTCCGGATGGGCAGCCGTGTTAGTCAGCCTGCAGCAGTAGAAAAGAGCAAGAGTCCAGGAGCACCTTCAAGACGAACAAAATTCATGGCAGGGTTGGACCTTTTGTGAGTCACGGCTCACTTCTTCAGATACCTGGTGTCTGAGGAAGTGAGCTGTGACTCACAAAAGCTCCTCCCCTGCCACAAATTTTCTTAGTCTTTACCGTGCTCCTGGACTCTTGTTCTTGTCTACTTCTGGAGTTTAGTTGCTTCTGGGCCTGGCTTAGATTTAGGGTTGCGAATGTTGGATTTGGGAAGTCCCTGGAGATTTGTGGCTGGAGGTTGAGGGTGACTGGGCTTAGGGACGGGGGGGCTTCAGTGGGGTATAATGCCATAGAGGCCTCCCTCTGAAGTTTTCCCAGGGGAACTGATCTCTGTAGTCTGGAGACTGACTGCAGTTCCGGAAGATCTCCAGGCCACTCCTGGAGGTTGGCAACTCTACTTTGTTTCTGGAACTTCAGATTGTATCCATGACCAGGAGAGCCTTCTATTGGCCTTGGCTGCCCCATTTGGGAAAAGAGAGATTTGGCCTCTCGTCATCTGTGCTTGGAAAAAAAATAATTAAAAAAATCACTTGCTGGACTACTGCCATGTGCTCTGTGTGGGTCTGCCCTTGAAGGTTGTCTGGAAGCTGGAGTGGATCCCCAGAGCCACTGCCCACAGAGGAAGTGTTTTAATTGCCTGCCAATATATTTTCAGGTGCAAAAATCAAGAATCTGGTTTGGTCCTTTAAAGTTTGAGTTGCGCAGGGAATGGACTACTAGAGGGATTCACTTGCTGTCGTATTTACATACTGTTTGCCCTTTTAGATATAACAGTGAGGCCCTGTTCTGGATACTGTCATGAGCCAATGGCAAACAGGTCTATTCAGAGTCACCGTGACATAGTGATTAGTTGCAGACACTCAGTTGTCTATGAAGGGCCACATGTTGTGTGCGCATGTAATGTGCTGTCAAGTCATAGCTGGCTTATGGCAACCCCAGCAAGGGGCTTCCAAGGCAAGGGAGAAGCAGAGGTGGTTGGCCATGGCCTTCCCCTGCAGAGCCTTCCTTGGTGGTCTCCCTTCCAAGTACCCACCCAGCTTAGCTTCCAACTTCTGATGACCCTAGCAAGGGGCTTTCAAGGCAAGGGAGAAGCAGAGGTGGTTGGCTGTCGCCTTCCCCTGCAGAGCCTTTTTTGGTGGTCTCCCTTCCAAGTACCCACCGCTTCCAATTTCTGGTGACCCCAGCAAGGGGCTTTCAAGGCAAGGGAGAAGCAGAGGTGGTTGGCCATGGCCTTCCTCTGCAGAGTCTTCCTTGGTGGTCTCCCTTCCAAGTACCCACCCAGCTTAGCTTCCAACTCATGGTGACCCCAGCAAGGGGCTTTCAAGGCAAGTGAGAAGCAGAGATGGTTGGCCATGGCCTTCCTCTGCAGAGTCTTCCTTGGTGGTCTCCCTTCTAAGTAATAACCCAGCTTAGCTTCCAACTTATGGCGACCCCAGCAAGGGGCTTTCAAGGCAAGTGAGAAGCAGAGGTGGTTGGCCATGGCCTTCCTCTGCAGAGCCTTCCTTGGTGGTCCCCCTTCCAACTACCGACCCAGCTTAGCTTCCAAATTATGGCGACCCCAGCAAGGGGCTTTCAAGGCAAGGGAGAAGCAGAGGTGGTTGGCCATGGCCTTCCCCTGCAGAGTCTTCCTTGGTGGTCTCCCATCCAAGTACCAACCCTGCTTAGCTTTCAACTTATGGTGTCCCCAGCAAGGAGCTTTCAAGGCAAGGGAGAAGGAGAGGTGGTTTGCCATGGCCTTCCTCTGCAGAGCCTTCCTTGGTGGTCCCCCTTCCAAGTACCCACCCAGCTTAGCTTCCAAGATCTGACAAGGCTCTACCACCCCTCCTAAACATCAGATAGTATCTACATAACAACATATCCACAAATATCCCACATATACTACTTTACACACAGAGTGACTAAAATGTGGAATTCGCTGCCAGAGGATGTAGCAATGGCAACAGGAATAAGCAGCTTTCGGAAGGGGATTAGGTCAATTCATGGAGGATCGGTCTGTGGGGGCCCACTAACCACGGTGACTGAGGGGAACCTCCAAGTTCAGAGGCAGTCAACCTCTGAAACCCAGAGCCAGGAGTAGAGATGTGAAGCCCGGAAAAAAACCCGGAAAAATTCTGTCCTTTTCCCTGAAGCTTTTGTTTTTTCCGAAAAATTGGAAAAATTGAAAAAAGAAAAGAAAAAAAATGATTATGGAATGTTTTATTTTAACATGATGAATAAAATATTTTAAGACAAGATGTTCAAATATTTTCCAAATCATTTCTAAAATATATATATATATGGCATCAGATTGATCTAATTTCTGTGCACTGAGGACAAGCAAGTCCTAGGTTACAAACTGAACTCTCCAATGCAAGAACAAGATGCATTTCTTCCTTTAGGAGGTGCGATTGTCACAAGAAAAGAAAAAGGTTTCAGTTCTGTTTTCGCATGTGGGTGGGTATTCTGTTTGTAATAATTGTTTGGATACACTCTATTTTTAATATGCTAGTTGTGATCATTTCATGCCAAGTAAAAATGTCCATAGTCATATTTTATGTTCCTAAAGTAACAGAATGACTTTCAATCTGGAAAAGACAAAAGAAATGCAAATGTGGCATTTTTTCAATTTCCCCAAAATTTTCCATTTCCCCCCGAAAAAAACTGGAAAAAAAATGGGTTTTTTTCCCGAGCTTCAAAATTTCCGGAAATTTTACATCTCTAGCTATAAGATGCCGCCTTCCTTCCTTGTTCACTCTGACGCCCCTGCCTTGAACTGTGGAGAGACCTTTGCTGTACTGTTCTATATGACAGAATTAAAAAAATTAACTCGTCCTTCCAGTTTTATTCTTGATTCAGCCCCACAGAATCTACAGAGGCAATCTAGTTAGTTCAGGGCAGTTCCCCCCCCCCCCCCGAGAGGGAGGGGGGGGGAGACGATGTCAGGCTTCCCGCGTGCTGTTCAAATGCTCGGGGATGGTGAAGAGCTCGAAGGCAATCTCCTCACATTCGCTGGCTGCTCCACTCTCAAACAAGCAGGCGAAGAGCGGCGCCGGGCCCTCCTCGCACACGGCCAGGTCCGAGTAGCCGCTCGGCCCTTCGTGCAGCACCCAAGGGGCCTCCCACCCGCCCTTCGCCAGCGGGGACATGTTGAGGTAGATGCCCAGGTTGACTCGTTTGCGTCGGCCCGTGGGGTGAGAGAAAAGCAGCCATTCCTTGGCGGCCTCACGGGCGGCTGAGGGCAGAATGCCCGGCAGAGTAGTCGAGTTGACGGCAGTCGCTCTTCGGCCCGTCTCCGAGGGCTTCCGAGGCGGGCTGAAGCTCACCACGCTGCCCTGGCAACCGCTGCCCGTCTCTGGCAGCTCCTTGCACAGGAAGGACTCCTCAAATTGGTTGCCGCTGTTTGTGCTGAAGGCCCCGACCCTATACTGTTCACGACTGCGGGCGTTGCAGTATAACACTTGGCGGTTGTCCCGGCGGGTCACCTCAGCCACCTGGCACTCTTCCATCTGGAAGCTCATGTCAAGCTGTCCCCGGCTCCACTTCCGGCCTCGGTCGTCGCTGTACAAAGTGAAGCAATGTGGCCTGGTCTGGTAGAGGACTGGCTTTTTGAAGTGACGCTGGTGGATGTAGTAGGCGTACGCTGGGACGACCAGACGCCCGGAGCGCAACTGGATCCCGTGGCCGGGCCCGATGGCGAAGGTGGCCCAGTTTCTCAAGTCCCCCCCGATCACCCGGTGGGTCAAATCGGTCAACTGGCTCCAAGTGCGGCCGCCATCTTGGCTGGAGATGTAGCACAGCCTGGCGGCGTTCCTCCCTGTTCGGATCTGATGCCAGGCGGTCAACTTGGACCGGATGCAGATAAAGAAGAGGAAGACTCTGCCGCTCTCCTTCTCGTAGACCGGACAGGGGTTCATGGTGCGATGGCCGGGAAGCAGAGCAGACGTCAAGTCCTGTTGAGGACCCCACTAGAGGAAGATGGAGAGGGTGGTCAGAAGAGTTAACCGATAGTTTTTCTGAGAGTTTTGATAAGTAAAGAAATAATTGTGATAATGAAATAAGAGTTACCTAGTGAATTATAAGAAAAAATGTAATGGAAACAAAAAGAAATTAGGAGGCAGTAAACAGGAGGTTGAGGAAATTAGAAGTAAATGTACAGGAGGTCGGAGCACTGTGGGAAGCCGCATATAAGGGAGGGGAAAAGGGAGGGGGGATGGATGTAACAGGGATAAATGTAGAAAATTTAATGCTGATTATGAATGTTTATATCCTAAATAAAAAAATGTGTTACAAAAGAAGAGTTAACTGATAGGCTTTTCGGTTCAGTGTGACACGGCCCATTTCGGTAAGGTTCAGACATGCCTAATTGCCATGGCTTCCCGCTAAGAACATCAGAAGAGCCCTGCTGGATCAGACCAGTGAGGGTCCCTCTAGTCCAGCATCCTCTCTCACACAGGGGCCAGCCAGTTCCTCTGGAGGGCCAACAACAGGGCAGAGAGGCCGAGGCCTTCCCCTGATAAGAACCTCAGGAGAGCCCTGCTGGATCAGACCAGTGAGGGTCCATCTAGTCCAGCATCCTCTCTCACACAGGGGCCAGCCAGTTCCTCCGGAGGGCCAACAACAGGGCAGAGAGGCCGAGGCCTTCCCCTGATAAGAACCTCAGGAGAGCCCTGCTGGATCAGACCAGTGAGGGTCCCTCTAGTCCAGCATCCTCTCTCACACAGGGGCCAGCCAGTTCCTCTGGAGGGCCAGCAACAGGGCAGAGAGGCCGAGGCCTTCCCCTGATAAGGACCTCAGAAGAGCCCTGCTGAGTCAGACCAGTGAGGGTCCATCTAGTCCAGCATCCCGTCTCACACAGTGGCCAGCCAGTTCCTCTGGAGGGCCAACAACAGGGCAGAGAGGCCGAGGCCTTCCCCTGATGAGAACATCAGGAGAACCCTGCTGGGTCAGACCAGTGAGGGTCCATCTAGTCCAGCATCCCGTCTCACACAGTGGCCAACCAGTTCCTCTGGAGGGCCAACAACAGGGCAGAGAGGCCGAGGCCTTCCCCTGATAAGAACCTCAGAAGAGCCCTGCTGGATCAGACCAGTGAGGGTCCATCTAGTCCAGCATCCTGTTTCACACAGTGGCCAACCAGTTCCCCTGGAGGGCCAACAACAGGGCAGAGAGGCCGAGGCCTTCCCCTGATAAGAACCTCAGAAGAGCCCTGCTGGATCAGACCAGTGAGGGTCCATCTAGTCCAGCCTCCTCTCTCACACAGTGGCCAGCCAGTTCCTCTGGAGGGCCAACAACAGGGCAGAGAGGCCGAGGCCTTCCCCTGATGAGAACCTCAGAAGAGCCCTGCTGGATCAGACCAGTGAGGGTCCATCTAGTCCAGCATCCTGTTTCGCACAGGATGGCTCTCTCGAAGTATCTGAAGGGCTGTCCCTTAGAGGAGGAGGGCAGGGAGCAGTTCCTGTGGGCAGCAGAGGAGGGGACTGGCAAGAATGGGTTTAAATTAAGGGCAGGAAGGTACCGGCTGGATCTTAGGGAAAACGTTTTGACAGTGAAAGTAGTGCAACAGTGGAGTCAGCTACCAAGGGAGGAGGTGGAGGAGGAGGAGATTGGATTTCTACCCCGCCCTTCACTACCCGAAGGAGTCTCAGAGCGGCTCACAAACTCCTTTCCCTTCCCCTCCCCACGACAGACACCCCGTGAGGTCGGTGGGGCTGAGAGAGCTCTCTCGAGGACTGCCCTTGAGTGAACAGCTCTGAGAGAACTTGTGACTGACCCAAGGTCACACCAGCAGCTGCATGTGGAGGAGTCGGGAATCCAACCCGGTTCTCCCAGATTAGAGTCTGCGCACTCAACCACGACACCAAACTGACCCCAAATAGATGACAACGGATCCGTTTTCTCTGCCCCCCCCCACCCGTGTTACCTGGACAGAGGTCCCTTTCTTCCGTCCTCGTCTCACAACCAGGTACTCGGCGTGTTCGTCTCTGGGCGAGGAGCGCTTCTCCACAAAGGCCAAGAAAACGGATTCATAAGGCAGGAACAGCAGGGCGGGAATTCGGTAGGTGACGCCTCGGGGTGCTTCCTGGCGGAACAGAGTCACCTTCCCAGAGGTCGCCTGAGCGTTAACCATCTTTTCTGGGAGTACTGAAGTATTCTGCCAATGGAAAGGTAAACCTGGGAGATCACATGTTAAAACTTATACTGATTTAAAAATGACTTTGTCTAAGTTCAGACTATAAAATCTTATTCACTATAAATACATTTGATGGGTTAACACTTTCCAACTGAAGACCAAACACGTTTCGGCCCCTAAGGGCCTTCCTCAGTGGTCACTATTATCTATATATTATAGACACACATCCATAGACCTGTTACAGATTTTTAGTACACATATATTAAAACCGGATGTTGTTTCCTTGTATACTTATAATTGTACTCCTGGTATTAGTGATGGGCCATAAAGGTAAAGGTAAAGGTTCCCTTGCTTGAAAGCCAGTCATATCCGACTCTAGGGTTGCAGTGCTCATCTCCGTTTCAAAGCCGAAGAGCTAGCGCTGTCCGAAGACGTTTCCGTGGTCATGTGGCCAGCATGACTAAACACCAAGGCGCACAGAACGCTGTTACCTTCCCACCGAAGTGGTACCTATTTATCTACTTGCAATTTCTTGCTTTCGAACTGCTAGGTTGGCAGGAGCTGGAACTAGAGACGGGAACTCACTCCGTCATGCGGCACACTCGGGTCTCGAACTGCTGAACTACCGACCTTCCACAGCCTGCAGTTCAGCGTCTTAACCACTTGAGCCATATCACCTCCACAACTTATTCTGGTATCAGTGATTTTGTAGGTCTGAATGTGTGTCTCTCCATCAATGTAATATATGTGTACTAAAAATCTGTAACAGGTCTATGGATGTGTGTCTATAATATATAGATAATAGTGACCACTGAGGAAGGCCCTTAGGGGCCGAAACGCGTTTGGTCTTCAGTTGGAAAGTGTTAACCCATCATATGTATTTATAGTGGATAAGATTTTATAGTCTGAACTTAGACAAAGTCATTTTTAAATCAGTATACGTTTTAACATGTCTACACCTTAATAAATATTTGTACTTTTTATATATATATATATATATTGTTTAGCTTAGCCCTTTTTGGTTCGCAGTCATATCCTGGGTTGAGTTCCCCCCTTTCCCCCCCAGTTTTTGTCAAACCTGGGAGATCATCAGAGCTGTAATACTTATATCGAAACCAGCCTGTCATGTCGGGATGCCAGCCTCCAGGTGGGACCTGGGGATCCCCCAGAATTACAGCTCATCTCCAGACGACTGAGATCAGTTCCCCCCGGGAGAAAACGGATGCTTTGGAGGGTGGACCGTATGGCCTTCTGCCCCACAGAGGTCCCTGCTCTCCCCCGGCTTCTACTCCAAATCTTCAGGAATTTCCTAACCTAGATCTTGTAGGGCAAGGGGAAAACGAATGTGATTTCTGAATGTGGGTTCTGACATTTCCTCTGACACAGAATCGTATCATAGAATGTAAGAGTTGGAAGGGACCTTGCAGGTCATCGAGTCCAACCCCCTGGCACTCTGCAGGAGCATCGCTGAAAGAGAGCCCTACATACCTGCAACCAATGCTCCCTCTAAGCTATGGAGTCCTGTGAGCAAAAATTCTGTTTTGTGAGTTACTGGCATTAAAGTTGTGAGCAGGTGATTTGGCTGCTGCATCAATTAGTTTGCTCTGGAGCCCTCCTTCCTGAGCGAAGACAAAAATGGGTGAGCCAGAGGCTAAAAAACTGTGAGTTAGCTCACACTAGCTCAGCTTGGAGGGAAACAGAGGTCTGCTCCCTCTAAGCTGTGGAGTCCTGTGAGCAGAAATTCTACTTTGTGAGCTACTGGCACTAAAGGTGTGAGTGAGCAATTTGGCTACTGCATAAATTAGTTTGCTCTGGAGCCCTCCTTCGTGAGCTGAGAGAAAAATGTGTGAGCCGGAGGCTAAAAAACTGTGTGCTAGCTCACACTAACTCAGCTGAGAGGGAACAGAGCCTACAACATACCCGAAAGATGGTCGTCCAACCTCTGCTTGAATACGTCCAGCGAAGGAGCATCCACCACCTCCCAAAGCAGACTGTTCCACTGCTCAACCACTCTGACAGTTAGGAAGTTTCTCCTGATATTTAGCCGGTAACGACTCCCTTGTCATTTCCACCCATTAGATCTAGTCTTGCAATCCGGAGCAAGAGAGAATAGATCTGCTCCATCTTCTACATGACAGCCATCATGTCCCCTCTAAGCCTTCTCTTTCTCAAGCTAAACATACCCAACTCTTTCAGCCTTACCTCATAAGACTTGGATTCCAACCCTCTCACCATCCTGGTTGCCCTCTTCTGGACACGCTCGAGCTTGTCAACATCCTTCCGAAAATGTGGTGCCCAAAATTGGACACAGGACTCCAGGTGAGGCCTGACCGTAGCAGAATAGAGCGGAACGACCACCTCCCGTGATCTGGACACGAGGCTTCTGTTGATGCATCCTAAGATTGCAGTAGCTTTTTTCGCAGCCACATTTATATGCTGACCGCTGTCACTGTGCCTTCAAAAGTCTAATCATAAGAGATTCAGATCTTGGTATGTAACTTAGAATCTTCTGATTAGAGGAATTTATAGCAGAATATATATTTTATAATTGCATTTTTTGTATAAAAAGCCATATTAAGCAAAAGTATTATTAGAAGCCTCTGTAGATGGGATCAGGACGCAATAGAAATGGAATGCGTAAGCTGCAAGATCCTACAAGCTAGGCTTCAGTACGTGGACAGAGAACTGGGTTTTGAAGAGGTAGAAGAACGAGAGATCAAATTGCCAACATTTGTTGGATTGTGGAGAAAGCAAGGGAGTACCAGAAAAACATCTACTTCTGCTTCATTGACTACGCTAAAGCCTTTGATTGTGTGGATCACAACAAACTGTGACAAGTCCTTATAGAGACATCACCCTGCCAACAAAAGTCCGCATGGTCAAAGCAATGGTATTCCCAGTAGTCATGTATGGCTGCGAGAGCTGGACTATAAGGAAGGCCGAGCGCCGAAGAATAGATTCTTTTGAACTATGGTGCTGGAGGAGACTCTTGAGAGTCCCTTGGACTGCAAGAAGATCAAATCAGTCAATCCTCAAAGAAATCAACCCTGACTGTTCCCTGGAAGGCCAGATAATGAAACTGAAGCTCAAATACTTTGGCCACCAAATGAGAAGGGAGCACTCCCTGGAGAAGACCCTGATGCTGGGAAAGATTGAAGGTCAAAGAAGACGGGGACGGCAAAGGATGAGATGGTTAGACAGTGTCATCGATGCAACGAACATGAAATTGAGCCAACTTCGGAGGACTGCGGAAGACAGGAGGGCCTGGCGTGAACTGGTCCATGGGGTCGCGGAGAGTCGGACTCGACTGTGCTACTGAACAAAAACGTCATGCGAAATGCCGTCCTGGATGACTCACAAGCCAGAATTAAGATTGCCGGGGGAAACATCAACAACCTCAGATATGGAGACGACACCACTCTAATGGCAGAAAGTGAAGAGGATCTAAAGAGCCTCTTGCTCAAGGTAAAAGAGGAGAGCGCAAAAGTGGGCTTGAAGCTCAACATCAAAAAAACTAAGATCATGGCATCCAGCCCCATCACTCCTTGGCAAATAGAAGGGGAAGTCGTGGAAGTAGTGACAGACTTCACGTTCCTGGGATCCCAGATCACCGCAGACTGTGACTGCAGCCATGAAATTAAAAGACGCCTGCTCCTTGGGAGGAAAGCGATGGCGAACCTAAACAGCATGATAAAAAGTAGAGACATCACCCTGCCAACAAAAGTCCACATGGTCAAAGCAATGGTATTCCCAGTAGTCATGTATGGCTGCGAGAGTTGGACTATAAGGAAGGCCAAGCGCCGAAGAATAGATTCTTTTGAACTATGGTGCTGGAGAAGACTCTTGAGAGTCCCTTGGACTGCAAAAAGATCAAATCAGTCAATCCTAAAAGAAATCAACCCTGACTGTTCCCTGGAAGGCCAGATAATGAAACTGAAGCTCAAATACTTTGGCCACCAAATGAGAAGGGAGCACTCACTGGAAAAGACCCTGATGCTGGGAAAGATTGAAGGTCAAAGAAGACGGGGACGGCAAAGGATGAGATGGTTAGACAGTGTCAATGCTGGGAAAGACTGAAGGTCAAAGAAGAAGGGGACGGCAAAGGGTGAGACAGTGTTGGACAGTGTTATCGATGGAATGAACATGAAATTAAGCAAACTCCGGAGGAAGACAGGTGGGCCTGGCGTGATTTGATCCACGGGGTCGCAGAGAGTCAGACTTGGCTGTGCGACTGAACAACAACAATGTTTATATGATATTATGTTGTATACCGGCCTGAGCCCGGTCCCTCCGGGGGGGGGGGATCTAAAATCAAAGGTAATAAATAAATAAATAGTGCCCACCCTCCGAAGCATCCCTTTTCTCCCCGGGGGAACGGGCCTCTGTAGTCGGGAGAGGACCTGTAATCCCAGAGACCCTCCAGGTCCCACCTGGAGGCTGGGAACCCCAGCCACCACTTACCAGCAGCAAGCCGAAAGAACAGAGGATATGGAAGTGGGCTGTTGGAAGGCTTTTTGCCAGCCTTTTCATCTCGTTGCTGGAACTGGGAGGGAGATGTGAGTTGTAGGCAGCCCATCTTTAGGTTTCAGGTGTCAGGGCCTCTGACTGGGAGGGGCCGAGAACTCTCAGGGTGTTCCGGCCGGAGAGCAGTTGGGAAAGAACAACGGACAAATATGGCGCCCGAAACGACAGCGAGGAGGCTGAAGGGAGAGACCGAGGAAAGAAAGCAATTTTTTCCCCTCAGAAAGTTGAACACGCAGGAAGCTGCCTTCTACCCTTGGACCGTCAGGGTCAGAAATGTCTGCGGTGGCCGGCAGCAGCTCTCCAGGGTCTCAGGCTGAGGTCTTTCCCATCACCTCCTGCCTGATCCTTTTAACTGGAGGTGCCGGGGATTGAACCTGGGACCTTCTGCATACCAAGCAGAGGCTCTGCTACTGAGCCACAGCCCCTCTGTACAGCTCTCCAAGGTTTCAACCAGAGGTCTTTCACATCACTTCCTGCCAGATCTTTTGACTGGAGATGCCGGGGATTGAACCTGGG